CCCCCAGACCTTGATGCAGAGCACGTGTGTCCCCGCTGCCACCAGCTCGCGGGCCAGCCCCAGGTAGTAGTCCAGGCTGTACTTGGTGCGCGTGGGGTCGGCCACGTCGCCGGTGTAGGAGAGCGCGGCCTCCACCACGGCGCCGGCGCTGCCCGCCGCCTCCACGCCCAGCAGCAGGTTGGGCACGTAGTTGAGGGCGTCGAAGACGCGGAAGATGTCCATGCCGTTGGCCACGGCCACCTCGCAGAACCTGCACGCGCGGGCGGCCGTCACGGCCACGGCCCGCGGGGACGTTCGGGTGCTCGGGCGGAGAGTCCCCGGGGTCCCTTTGTGTGTCCCCAGGGTGCCCTTTGTGTCCCCAGGGTTCCCTTTGTGTCCCCGGGGTCCCGTTTGTGTGTCCCCAGGGTGCCCTTTGTGTCCCCAGGATCCCCTTTGTGTCCCCAGGATCCCCTTTCCATGTCCCCAGGGTCCCCTTTCCGTGTCCCCAATGTCCCCTGTCCCCCTGTCCCCCATGTCCCCAACACCCCCATGTCCCTCCCTGCCTCTCCATGTCCCCCAGTGTTCCCGCGGTGTCCCCAATTCCCTGTAGTGTCCCCATGGTGTCCCCATGTCCCCGTGTCCCTGCAGTGTCCCTGTGATGTCCCCGTGATGTCCCTCTGGTGTCCCTGTGGTGTCCCCCAGGTCCCCATGTCCCTGCGGTGTCCCCACAGGGTCCCCACGTCCCCAGGTCCCCCTGCGGTGTCCCCGTGTCCCCTGGTGTCTCCACAGTGTCCCGCGGTGTCCCCAGTTCCCTGCAGTGTCCCCATGGTGTCCCCCCGTGTCCCCACAGTGTCCCCCCATGTCCCGGGGTGTCCCCATGGTGTCCCCAATTCCCTGTCGCATCCCCACAGTGTCTCCCCCGTGTCCCTGGTGTCCCCCCATGTCCCTATGGTGTCCCTGGTGTCCCCCCGCTGTCCCCCCCGTGTCCCTGGTGTCCCCCCATGTCCCCCTAGTGTCCCCATGGTGTCCCTGGTGTCCCCCCATGTCCCCCCGGTGTCCCTGGTGTCCCCGGTGTCCGGTGCCCCCGCGCCCGCACCGCTGCACGACGTTGTCGGGGTAGTTGGTGTAGCCCACGGCGTTGGCGCCGCGCAGCAGCATCTGGAAGGGGATGTTGGGCACGAGGCGCCGCAGCTCCCGCAGCCGCTCCCAGGGGCACTCGTGCAGGAAGCGCATGGCCACGTCGAAGGTGGCGCCTGCGGGCGCGCCCGGCTCGCTGACACGCCCACAGGAGCCACGCCCACGCGAGACACGCCCACAGGAGCCACGCCCACAGGAGCCACGCCCACGCGAGACACGCCCACGCGAGACACGCCCACGCGAGACACGCCCACGCGAGCCACGCCCACAGGAGTCACGCCCACACGAGCCACGCCCACGCGAGACACGCCCCTTCTGAGCCACGCCCATCTAGAGCCACGCCCACACGAGCCACGCCCCTCTAGAGCCACGCCCACGCAAGACACGCCCCTTCTGAGCCAAGCCCCTCATAAAACCACACCCACACGAGCCACGCCCCCACAAAGCCACGCCCATCGCGGGTGACCACGCCCATCACATGACAGCCACGCCCATCACATGACAGCCACGCCCATCACATGACAGCCACACCCATCACATGACAGTCACGCCCATCACATGAGACACGCCCATCGCATGACAGCCACGCCCATCACATGAGACACGCCCATCACATGACAGCCACACCCATCACATGAGACACGCCCATCACATGACAGCCACACCCATCACATGAGACACGCCCATCGCATGACAGCCACACCCATCACATGAGACACGCCCATCACATGACAGCCACACCCATCACATGACAGACACGCCTATCACATGACAGCCACGCCCATCACATGAGACACGCCCATCACATGACAGCCACACCCATCGCATGAGACACGCCCATCACATGAGACACGCATATCACATGACAGCCACGCCCATCACATGACAGCCACGCCCATCGCATGACAGCCACGCCCATAACATGACGGCCACGCCCCTTCAGTCAAGCCCTGCCCTCACCCCTTGGCCACACCCTGTCAAGCCCCTCCCCACCAAGCCCCTCCCATGTCTGCCACACCCCGTTAAGCCCCTCCCCTTAATTTGACACCGTTAAGCCCCTCCCCTCCCTGCCCCACCCTCCAAAGCCCCTCCCCTCGCCGCCACGCCCCTTTAAGCCCCTCCCCTGCCTGTCCCACCCTCCAAAACCCCTCCCTAGCACACCCCATTAAACCCCTCCCAATCTGCCACACCCCCTTAAGCCCCTCCCCTCCCCTCAATTGCCCTCCCCTCCCCTGCCCTCCCTCACCGCCCCAGGTCTCCATGCTGCACAGGGGGCTGAGCGCGTGGGCCGCGAAGGGCGCGACGCGGGCGAGGTCGCGGGTGCGGACGCGCGTGGCCAGCAGGGACTGGTGGGCGTCGCGGAAGGTGGTGTCGGTCAGCAGCAGCCCCCGGTGCCGCCGCAGCGCCCGCGCGAAGCCCGCGGGGCCCTCGCGCTGCAGCACGGCCCGCAGCCCCGGCGGCGGCGCGCCTGCGGCACCGGGACAGGGCGTGAGGGGTGAGGGGGGGTCAGTGAGGGGGTGAGGGGTCAGTGTGGGGCACAGAGGGGGCAGGAGTGGCACAGAGGGGGCACAGAGGGGGCAGGGGGCTGTGTGGGGCAGGGGTTGGGGGTCAGCGAGGGGGCAGTGAGGGGTCACCAAAGGGGACAGGGTCAGTGTGGGGCAGGGGGCACCCTGGGGACACCCAGGGACACCCTGGGGACACCCAGGGATACCCTGGGACACCCTGGGGACACCGTGGGATAGCCTGGGATACCCTGGGACACCCTGGGGACACCCAGGGACACCCTGGGACACCCAGGGGACCCCCGGGCCGTGCCCCCACTCACCCATGGGCACCGGGGGCGGGGTCGGCTCCACCAGCGCCGCCTTGGCCTTCACGGGCAGGGGGGTGCTGGGCCCGTTCACCATCACGTGGCCTGGGGGGGGGACGGGTGTGACAGGGGGTGGCAGCCCCGGGGACCCCCCAAAATCCCCCCCGAGCCCCCCAGAGCCTGCCCGGCCTCGGCCAGGCTCCCCTGAGAGCCACAGGAGAGGGGGTTTGGGGGCTCCTCACACCTGGGGGGACAAACCCCACACCTGGGGGGACAAACCCCACACCTGGGGGGACAAACCCCCACCTGGGGGGGATAAACCCCACACCTGGGGACACCTGGGGGGACAAACCCCACACCTGGGGGGACAAACCCCACACCTGGGGGGGATAAACCCCACACCTGGGGACACCTGGGGGGACAAACCCCACACCTGGGGGGACAAACCCCACACCTGGGGACACCTGGGGGGACAAACCCCACACCTGGGCACACCTGGGGGGACAAACCCCACACCTGGGCACACCTGAGGACCCTTGGACACCCCTGGGCACACCTGCAGGTACCAGGGCCGGGTCCCTCCGCCCCTTGGGGGCCCAGGCGTGCGCACAGACCCCCCCCAAACCCCCCGGGTGCCCCCCAGGTGCCCCCCGGGTGCCCCCCGGCGCACCCAGGTAGTGCAGCAGCTTCTGGGCGCGGTTCTGGCTGGGCCGCAGGTGGAAGAGCTCGGGGTTCTCGTCGATGAACTGCGTGTCGGCCTCGCCCGCCAGGAACTGCGGGTGAGCCAGCACGTTCTGCAGGAACGGGATGTTGGTCTGCGGGGACACGGCGGTCAGGGGCGCCCCGAGACCCCCACAGAGGGCTGGGGGCACCCCGAGACCCCTGGGAGAGATGGGGGCGCCCCGGGACCCCTGAGAGGGGTGGGGGTGCCCCGAGACCCCTGGGAGAGATGGGGCCTCCCTGAGACCCCCGAGAGGGCTGGGGGCACCCCAAGACAGCCAGAGAGGGCTGGGGGCACCCGGAGACCCTTGAGAGGGCTGGGGGTGCCCTGAGACCCCTGAGAGAGATAGGGGCACCCCGAGACCCCTGAGAGGGGTGGGGGCACCCCGGGACCCCTGGGAGAGGTGGGGGCGCCCCGAGAGGGGTGGGGGCACCCCAAGACCTCTGGGGTCAGGGGCACCCCGAGACCCCCGGGAGAGATGGGGGCTCCCCAAGACCCCACCCCAAAACCTCCCCCACCCCCTAATGTCACCCCAGGGATCCCCAAACCCCACATCAGCCCCCCGAGACCCCCCCCCAAAACCTCCTCCACCCCCTAATGTCACCCCGGGGCGCCCCAAATCCCTTCCCGCAGCATTTCCCTGCCCCGAGCCCCTCGGGGTCCCCTCAAACCCCCCTGGAGCCCCTTGAGGACTCCCCCAAAGCCCCCCGGAGCCCCCCGGGACCCTCCAAAGCCCCTCGGGGTCCCCCCAAAGCCCCCCGGAGCCCCCCGGGACCCTCCAAAGCCCCTCGGGGTCCCCCCAAAGCCCCTCGGGGTCCCCCCAAAGCCCCCCGGGACCGCCCCCAGAGTCCCCCGGAGCCCCCCGGGACCCCCGGCCACCTTGACCCCGCGGATGCGGAACTCGGCCAGCGCCCGGCTCATCTTGGCGGCGGCCGCCGGCTGGTCGGGGCCGTGCGCCACCACCTTGACCAGCAGCGAGTCGTAGTGCGGCGAGATGAGCGCGCCCTGGAACGCCGAGGCGCCGTCCAGGCGGATGCCCATCCCCTCCCCGGAGCGGAACACCTGTGGGCGGGCACCCCGACATCAGCGGGGCACCCCGAGATCCAGCGGGGGTACCCCGAGATCAGCGGGGCACCCTGAGATCCAGCGGGGCACCCCGAGATCAGCGGGGCACCTCGAGATCCAATGTGGGCACCCTGAGATCCAGGGGGAACACCCCCAGAGCATGGAAAGACCCCAAAATCCAGGGGGAGCAGCCTGAGATCCAGCAGGAGCACCCCAAATCCAACGGGAGCACCCCAAAATCCAGCGGGAACACCCCCAAATCCAGGGGGAGCACCCCCAAATCCTGCGGGAGCAGTCCAAGATCCAGTGGGAGCACCCCAAAATCCAAAGAACAATCCACAGATCCCTCCAAAGCTACAGACACAGCACGGGAAGTCCCAAGGGGATTCCACCGGTGGGGGTCCCGGGGCCGTTCCCGTCCTGGTGTCCCGGTGTCCTGGTGGTCCCGGGGGTCCTGGGGCTGTCCCCATCCCGGGGCTGTCCCTGTCCTGGTGTCCTGATGTCCTGGTGGTCCTGGGGGTGTCCCCATCCCAGGGCTGTCCCCATCCCAGTGGTCCCGGTGTCCCGGTGGTCCCGGGGGTCCTGGGGCTGTCCCCATCCCGGTGGTCCCGGTGTCCTGGTGGTCCCGGGGGTCCTGGAGCCATCCCCATCCCGGGGCTGTCCCTGTCCTGGTGCTGTCCCCATCCCGGTGGTCCCGGGGCTGTCCCTGTGTCCTCGGTGTCCTGGTGTCCCCATGTCCCATGTCCCCATGCCCCATGTCCCCGTCTCCCGTATCGCCATGTCCCTGTGTCCCGTGTCCCGTGTCCCGTGTCCCGTGTCCCCCATGTCCCTGTGTCCCGTGTCCCGTGTCCCGTGTCCGTGTCACCTCGATGCGGCCGGTGTCGGGCTGGAAGCCGCGCGCGGGGTCCTCGGTGGTGACGCGGCACTGGATGGCGCAGCCGTTGATGCGGATCCGCTCCTGCTGCAGCCCCAGCTCGGGCAGCGAGCGGCCCGCGGCCACCTGCAGCTGCGCGTGCACCAGGTCCACGCTGGGGACACGGGACACGGGTCAGGGGACACGGGACACGGGTCAGGGGACACGGGGGGACACGGGGACATGGGGACAGGAGCGGCCCGCGGCCACCTGCAGCTGCGCGTGCACCAGGTCCACGCTGGGGACACGGGACACGGGTCAGGGGACACGGGGGGACACGGGGACATGGGGACATGGGGGGACACAGGGGACACGGGGGGACACGGGTCAGGGGACACGGGACACGGGTCAGGGGACATGGGACACGGGTCAGGGGACATGGGACAGGGGACACGGGGGGACACGGGGACATAGGGACAGGAGCAGCCTGTGGCCACCTGCAGCTGCGCGTGCACCAGGTCCACGCTGGGGACACGGGACATGGGTCAGGGGACACGTGGGGACATGTGGGGACAATGGGGGACACGGGGAACAGCAGGGTCACGGGGTCAGGGGACAATGGGGGGACACGGGGGGACACGGTGTCAGGGGACAGGGACATGGGGGGACAGCAGGGACATGGGGACAATGGTGGGACAATGGGGGACACAGCGTCAGGGGGCACGGGGAACACGGGGACAATGGGGACATGGGGACACACCGGTTCCTCCGCCATTTTTAGGGTCCCCCCCACTCATTTTGGGTGCCCCTGCTGGTTTTGGGGTCCCCTGTTGGTTTTGGGATCCCCCCACTATTTCTGGGATCCCCCCTGCCGTTTTTGGGGCCCGGCTCACTCGGTGATCTCCTCGGTGACCGTGTGCTCCACCTGCAGCCGCGAGTTGACCTCGATGAAGTAATACTCCCCGCTCTGGTCCACCAGGAACTCCACGGTGCCGGCGCTCTCGTAGCCCACCTGGGACCCCCGGGCCTGTCAGGGGGTCCGGGCGCCCCCTGCCCCGGCCGGGGTCCCCCAATGTCCTCCTGAGCCCCCCAGTGTCCACCTGAACCCCCCTGATGTCCCCCTGGGGTCCCCAATGTCCTCCTGAGCCCCCCCGATGTCCTCCTGGGGTGCTGCTCTTGTTCTGCCGCTCACTCGATGTTCTCCAGATCCTCCAGTGTCCTCCTGAACCCCCCAATGTCCACCTGAGCCCCCCAATGTCCACCTGGGTGCCCCAATGTCCACCTGAGCCCCCCAATGTCCACCTGGGTGCCCTAATGTCCTCCCAGGATCCCACCCCATTCTCCCAGGGTGTCCCTGGGCTGTCCCTGCTGTCCCCAAGGGTGTCCCCACGGTTTCCCTGCCGTCCCTGGTGCATCCCTGGGGTGTCCCGTGGTGTCCCTGCAGTGTCCCCAGGGTGTCCCCACTGTCCCCCCGCTGTCCCCGGGTGTCACCTGCCGGGCCAGGCGCACGGCGTCGTCGGCCAGGCGGGCGCGGAGCTCGGGCGGCAGCCGCGCGGCCGGGGCGATCTCCACGACCTTCTGGTGCCGGCGCTGCACCGAGCAGTCGCGCTCGTAGAGGTGGACCACATTCCCGTGGGCGTCACCTGGGGACCAGGAACCCCAAAAATGGAATAACAGACCCCAAAAATGGAGCTGGGAACCCCAGAAATGGAGCTGGAAACCCCAGAAATGGAACTGGGAACCCCAAAAATGGAGATGGGAACCCCAGAAATGGAGATGGGAACCCCAAAAATGGAATAACAGACCCAAAAATGGACCTGCACCGAGCAGTCGCGCTCGTAGAGGTGGACCACGTTCCCGTGGGCATCACCTGGGGACCAGGAACCCCAGAAATGGAATAACAGACCCCAAAAATGGAGCTGGGAACCCCAAAAACGGAGCTGGGAACCCCAAAACTGGAACTGGGAACCCCAGAAAGGGAACTGGGAACCCCAAAGATGGACCCTTGAAAGGACCACGGTTGTCCGGGTGCCCTCAACGCCCCCCGAGACCTCCCCGAAGCCCCCGAGGGCCTCTCAGAGTCTCGGGGACCCCCAAAATTGGGGTCCCTGGAGTTTGGGGGCCCCGAGGCGCCGTACCCAGGATCTGGACCTCGATGTGCCGCGGGCGCTCGATGAATTTCTCCACGAACAGGTCCCCGTTGCCAAAGGCGGCCAAAGCCTCCGAGGTGGCGCGGGAGAAGTTCTCCTCCAGCTCCTGCGGGACCCCCGAAAGTGGCTCCCCAAATTCCAGAGACCCCCAAATTCCAGGGACCCCAAATTTCAGCGACCCCAAAACCCAGAGACCCCAAATTCCAGGGATTGCCAAATTCCAGGGACCCAAAAATTCAGCAACCCTAAATTTCTGTGACCCCAAATTCCAGGGATCCCCAAATTTCAGGGACCCCAAAACCCAGCAAACCCAAAACCCAGGACATCCCTGGCTGGAGTTCCCCCCAAACGCAGGAACCCCAAATCTTGGCCATCCTAAATCCAGGAATCCCAAATCCCAGGATAGCCCTGAACCCAAATCCAGGGTCCCCAAAATTCCGGGCTCTTCCCAGATCTGGGATTCGCCCCTAGCCCATCACATTACCCCAAATCTGGTACCCCAAAACCTGGGGTACCTCAAACACCGGGGTTCCCCCAAATCCAGGCTCCCCCCACTCCAGTTTTGGGGTCACCCCAGATCCAGGATTTGGGGTTCCTGAGGGTTGGGATGGCTGCGGGTTTGGGGGTCTGGGGACGTGACAGCTCCTGGAATTTTGGGGTCCTGGGGATTTGGGGCACGGGGATTTGGGGTTTTGGGATTTGATGTTGCTGGGGAATTTCATTTCCCAGCAATTTGGGCCTCTGGGGATTTGGCATTCCTGGGGGATTTGGGATCTTGAGGGATTTGTTCTCCTCTGGATTTCCCCCAAATCCTGGGGGATTTGGGCTCCGGGACATTTGGGTTCTGGGCACTGGAATTCCAGGGGGTTTGGGGTTCTGGGGGATTTGGGGTTCTGGGAGATTTGGGTTCTGGTGGATTTGGGGTTCTGGGTGATTCAGGTTCCTGTGGAATTTGGGTCCTGGGCACAGGAATTCCAGGGGATTTGGGTTCTGGGGGATTTTGGATCTCTGGTGGGGGAATTTGGGGGGGATTTGGGTTCTGAGGGATTTGGGGTTCTGAGGGATTTGGGTTTTGGGGGATTTGGGTTCTGGTGGATTTGGGTTCCTGGGCACAGGAATTCCAGGGGATTTGGGTTCTGAGGGATTTGGGTTCTGAGGGATTTGGGTTCTGGTGGATTCGGGTTCCGGGGGATTCGGGTGGGGTGGGTTCGGGTGGATTTGGGGTTTTGGGGATTTCGGGGGGGTGGGTTGGGGTCCTGCTGCCCGGGCTCGGTACCTGGGGCGCTCGCACCACCCTCATGCCGCGGCCGCCGCCGCCGTGCGCGGCCTTGAGGATGACGGGGAAGCCGACGCGGGAGGCGAAGTCCCGAGCCTCGGCCAGCGCCGACACCGGCGACGGCGTCCCCGGCACCACCGGCACCCCTGCGGGCAGGGTTGGAGACCCAGATCCCCCCCCCTCCCGGATCCCCCAAAATCCCAGACTGACTCCCCCCAAAATCCCCCCCAAAAACCCCCA